GAAATTTCGCGAGATGGTAATTTTTCGCCCTGTCGACGACCGCAGACGACCCCGGCCGACCCGCGTTCCCGCCGCCAACGTCAAAATTCCCAAAATTCCGCCAAATTCCCGTCGGAATTTGCGCTCACCGATGGCTCCGTATCTGGCCCGGACGCAGGTGAGGCCGGCCTGGAAGATGCTGGGGAAGCTCTGGATCTCGTACCAGTCGCCAAGGTACTGCGCGATGCGGATCCAAAGAAGGAGGAAAGTACCATAGTAGAAAAAAAAAATTTGAGACAGTTAATGATAAAGGTAAATAGCGATAACATTGTTTGAAGTGCAAACGAAATAAATAAAAGGTGGAATAAGAATGGTATAACGATAAGACAGTGACATATGTGACATATGCAAGATACACGAGACACATGTGACGCATCACATCTGAAATTTTCTCTCCGAAAATTTCTATCTAATATTTGCGAGATTTTCCAAAGTAGATCTCGCGATCCAACGCTGAGTCAAGATTTTTTTTAGTTGCCCTTTTTTAGGGCCCTTTTAGGAAGGTCAAGCTGCCGATTTCTTTTGCGGACTTGCTTTGGAATCTGCACAGGAAATTTTTTCCTTCGACCGTCCGCACAGTCTTTGGAGACTTTGCACTTCCAATTAACAAGTACACCCTAGACTCGCCGTGCAAATTTATTTTTTTTGCATAGATTGAAAGACCTTTCCCAATCCTACCCATCGCGGAATTTTTTTTCTACAGGCAAAAAAAAATTTGGGAATAGTGGGACGAGGAGGGAGGTTGCTAGTGAGGAGGGAGGTTGCTAGTGAGGAGGGAGGTTGCTAGTGAGGAGGGAGGTTGCTTGTGAGGAGGGAGGTTGCTAGTGAGGAGGGAGGTTGCTCGATAAGTTCCACCAACCCCCGGCAACAACACTTATTGCCTTTTTTTCTGAGTCACAGGAGTGAGATGTTGTCCTTGTCCTTGTTTTTTTCACCTTGATCCATATGATTTCGTAAATAAAATAATAATAATCAAATGACAAACATTAAATTAATTTCATTTAACTAATCGGATAAATCCCATAAATAACAAATATAATAAATACCATAAATAACATTAAAATAACCAGTAACATAAATAACAAATAACACAAATAACACGAAGAACAAATAATATAAGTAACGAATAAAATAAATTAAAAAGTAAGTGCTTTTTGTTCTCTTCTGCAGAGAGGATCGGATGGCTGCTGACAGAAAACGACGACTGCATGTTGGAGTCTGGGAGGATTCACCCAGGCGTGGAGCTCGTCGTGTCGGACTCGAACGACTCGGTCGGGGCCTTTCGGGACCTTTACTTGCGGGGGATCCGGACTTTCGTCGGCCTCACCAACGAGGATGCCTCTGGGGTGCTCGAGGAGGCGCCGGATGATGTCCGGTTCGTGAGTCCCTTCCTGACCGGGGCGGATTTGCAGGCGCGTCCCGGAGTGGTTTCGATCCTGCCGGACGACGAGGCCTTGAGCTTCGCACTGGCGCAGAAGTTGAGGTATGTGCGGGACAGCTGGGGCAGCCGGGACAGCCGGGACAGCCGGGACAGCCGGGATAGCCGGGACAGCCAGGACATTAAGATCCTGCCAGTCGTGGGGTCGGAGCGGGACACGGCGTTTCTGCGAGTCTTTGGAGATGTGGCGGACTTCACCGAAATTTTGCCGCCGGTCCGGTTTGGCCCGGCGAATCCGGGATTTTACGACAGACTGGAGAAATATTCCGACGCCGTCATTTTGTTCCTGCCGCCGAAGGGACTGGCAAGATTCTTGCGGGAATCCGCCAAGATGACGACCCGACCCAAAGGGCTGATATCGCCGTTCGCACTCTTCGAAGAAGAGGAAATCCTCGAGGATCCCGTCGCCAAGGCGCGGGCGCATCAGCTGGGACTTTTCACCGTGGCGTATTTAGGGCACAACTTCATGGTTCCCCAGCGACGCCGATTTTACAATCAGATTCGGAAAAACCTGGGTCATTCGTGTTCCCTGCTGGCGGCGCCGGTCCACGACGCCGTGCTCGTCGCGGCAAGTCTTCCGCTACCGGGCAAGTCTTCGCTCCGGGGAGCCACGGGGGACCTCGCCTTCACCGACTCGGGTCAGAGGTCGTCGGGGACGCTCATGCGAGCATTTTTCTTCGTCGATTCCAACCTTACTTCGGTCGTGGTGCAGGACAGTCCCTGGGTCCCGGAAGGGTTCATGGACTTCCGTGTCGACGGGCCGACCCGGATCTACGCGGAGCACCAGCTGTACACCCCCTCGAATTCCACCGAAGACGCCCAGGTCCATTCGTACACCCGGGAGACCTTGACCGCCCTTTACCGAATGGTTCAAAGGTCGCACAACGACTGCCGCAATGGGACTTTGAGCGTGGGGGTCTACGATCCGCTGCATTTCGGGTTGGTCAGCCGGGTCTACGCCGTTGAAGACTTGCCGGAAGTCATCATCATTCCCAGAACTGCTGGGTACGTTCTCAAGGCCACGTGCGGCAAGTATTCCCTCGACGTCGTCTGTCCGGAATCTCACCGGAATCTCGGGTGTCTCACGTCCGTTTCGGACGAGGAAGGGCAACTGTCAGAGGAGAAGCCATCCCTCCGGCGCAGGAAACGCGATTTCAAGTCGTGGTATTACGGCGTTCGGCGGAAGCCCGCCAGCAAGGCGACGGCGCAACGTCGGCGGGGAGAGATTCCGGCCGGTACTTTGAACGATGTCGACCGATACGACTTGTACGGGAAGTACTGGATGTACGATATGCTGAAAGCACCGCCGGGGGTTATCAGCAAGATCATAGGACTTGCGGCGCCCAACGTTGCAGCTTGTATCGGTGGACTCATGGGTTGTGTCATTTGCGTGGGGTATCGAACTTCCATTGACCAAGAGGCATTCGGTTGTGCGGGGCCCTGCATTGTAGGTATCGGGGGAACGTGCGGCGTAGCAACGGGAAAGGTCATGGAGGATTACTATACGGAGAAATCCGTGATATGTACCGAGTTGTTCGGGCAGGCAAGGATGGACCCGGAGACTTACGTGATCGACGCAGGATTTGGAGCCAGACTGAGCGAGGTTGACCCGGTGGCGTTGGAGGGGTATCACGTGATGGCAGCGCCCTTGGTTGAACTCATGCAGAGGTCGAGTTGGGTCAGTGGGGTCGTAGAGTGGGCGGCGGGGCCGTGGATCGCAGCGATGAAGTACGAGGAGGGGTATGAGACGGAGATGGGATGGACGGGGAAGGTGGTGCTCTATGGGGGGGTGCCGGTGGTGAGGGCGGTGGGGTGGGCGGCGAGGGTCATGCGCCACGTGGTCAGGTACAGCTGATCGAGTGGTGGGGTGGAGGAAAACAGTTGATCGTGTGATGCGCGGGTGGGGAACAGCTGGATGGCTGGCGTGTGGGAGGGTGCAGTGGCACTTCTGATGCAATGCAAGTATTTATTGTTTGTCTGGGAATAAAGATTGAATGGTTGAGGTGTATAGTGGGTTTTTTTTGGTTGAAAGTTTTTTGGGTTGATGTTCACCTTTCGGGGCGCTATGGTTCATCCGGAAAGACTCTGGGGGTAAAATTACCGAATTGAGAAAGATCGACTAGAGATTCTTTAGAGGATAAAAAATTGACAATTTTTTTTTCTCCCTAGAGGTTGATGGATCCTTGACACTCCTCAGAATATCGCGGAAGTGATATGAGAAGTGTTCAAGCAAATGAGTATCGATCAAATCAATTATACATCCCCATCAAGAAAGAAGGTTGACACTAGTCTAGAGAGGATCTTGTAGGCTGTAGAGGCTAAGAAGGGAAGGCCCATCATGAATATGAAATGAGGGGGAAAAAGCCTTCCCTCTCTTTTTCTCCTCTAATCGGGACTGAGGATGATTGGAGGGTTTCTCATCTCGCCTTGTTATTCCTCATAGTTCCCGGGGAACTTTCCCTCCCATTTTCTTGACGAGAATATCACACAGAACTCTTACTTGCAACTTAAATTATCCTATAAATCACAGTCCATGCAAGGCAAAGGGAGAAAAATAAAATGGGATGGAAAATAAACGCAAGTGAAACCCAGACCACCCAACAGAAAAGCCACAGTTTTTCTCTTCCCTCTTCCCATCGGCCGAGAGACAGAGCGATCGCTTCTCATCCGGCCAGGAAAACGGCATGAAAAAAATGTATTTTTCAAGTTTGACTCAGCGTTGAGTCATTCATTGCAGCTGTGTTCAACTCTTCTGAACATCTTCGTGCATCCATATACATTAGGTCCTAATATTTAGGTCAATATTGATCTTAGTAAATTTAGAATCAGGACCTCTTAATTCAACCCCTAAAGGTTTATTTTAAATATTTATTCTGCGAAACAATCATTTCAAGAAGACTAATTCAACGTCTTCATTTTTTTTTTTTACTTTCAAGCCTTTGCCTGCCTCTTCATATATTACTTGAATATTCAATATTTGAAAGGAAACGAAGGCCTTAGATGGGGCCTGACATTTTTTTTTTCCTACTTTCCAGCGACGATAGACAAAGATATGCGTTGGCGAGAACAATCAGGATTCAATCACTGTCGAGAGATTCAATCAATACCTAGAGCAATATCACCCCACTCAAAGTGCGGCAATATTGCTCTCAACTCCCCGGGAAGAGTCTCTTCATGAAAGCGCAAAACAGGAGTCGGCAATATGACTCAATTTTGATCAAAGTTGAATAATGAATACATCTGGTACACAGTTTTATTGAGAGAGTAAATCGAAGCCGGATGTGTGTCAATGAAAATATTGTGCCTCAAGCCAAAAGTACCTGGAATACTGATTTATAAAATATGAAATATAATGCACAATATGTGATATTTTTCTGTCGTTAATATGTAGTTATTTATTTTCGCACAGAATAAAGCAGAAACTAAGCTTTCTTATGGCGAAAACAAGCTAGAAAAATTAGTCTTGAATTTCAAGAAACCGGAAGACGGGGAACTTTCTTATAAGAAAACATTTTATCTGTCTCTTTCTCTTCAAAAACGAGATTCAAAAATCACCAGTCGCCAATGAGAAGGTTGTCACGACGAAAAACATTCATAATATCAATGGAGCTCACACGTCGCACGTCGAAGACGTATACACGGAAACACCGTCACGGTCCGCAAAAATTTTCAGTCCAAGGGCCACCTGTCGGCCGTCACCCGAACCCGCGCAGGCGTGTGAAGAGGGTCCAAATCACGACAGTGGCGACCTGGCAACCCGGTCGCCCCGAGGAGTTTCCTTCGTGCATCGCCTGCGGTCTCTCCCCTGCACGAAAGAGAGGACCTTTATACATTAAGGACAGATGAAAGACATGTCCATCCCATTTCCTCGTCCTCGCGTGATGTGCCGAGGAGATAAAAAACCTTTCATCAGACAACATCAGACAACATTGGTGACGATTTTCAAGCTGCACTTTTCTTATCAACTTTCTCTTTTCTACCCATCCAGTCTTAAGTCATAAACTTATTCTCAGTATTGATTGGGAAAAAAGATTATTTTAAAAAATACACGTCCATGCCATTCTGAAAAGAATATTAATAACACCACTTCAAAAAGCATACATTTATTTGTATCTATTGATAATACTGGGTGGCCGAACTTTGTACGACTACAGAGGGGTCACAACGTTAAGCATCGTCTTGAAATTTTCAACGTATCATGCCCAATATATGTAGATGATTCAGGAAATTTTCAATTAAATTCCCTTCTCTGGACACGAGTAAGAGCTTTTCCCGTGAAATTCGTCAAATGAGCAAGTGTGTCAATGCGTTTGTCGGCGGGCGATCCGAGGAGGACACATCCATGGAGGATTCCATCAAACATTTCTTTCATTGAGGTCAAGCGCGTTTCTTTGCACAATCGCTTTTTTAACATCGCGCGGGGAAAAATTGTTACTCAAGTATTTTACAACCAATTTCAATGAAATTTTTGTTCTATTACCTGCAAATATTGCATGTAAAAGCCTATAAATTTCCTGTCGATAACTCATTTGGTATACCGTCTGCACGCGTGTAAATATCGAGACTTTTTGGACCACCCGGCATATTTAGAAGATCGTGACTGAGTGAGTGAGTTATTCTAACCATGTTCTACAGAAGTTAAAAATCTGAAACTTGGTACACAAGTCGCTATTGGGATGCGGAGTTCAGAAAAAAATCCGACTTTGGAAGTACAGGCCCTGGGGGCATACATTTTTTGAGGAAGATATTTTCAAATATATATTTTTGTTTCAGTCAAATGGAGAGACATGGAAAGCTGAAACTTGGCATGAACCTGACAACTAAGACACTGAGTTCAGGAAAAATGTCAAGTCTGAGATGCATGCCCTGGGGGGCATATTTTTTGAGGATGACGTTTTCACATTTTTTTGTCTTAGCGAATTGGAAAGAAATAGGAAGGTGAAACCTGGCAAACGCATGACTAATGCGATGGTGAGTTCAGGAAAATTCATTTCCACACACACTTCCACTAGGGTCATTTCCGTTATTATGTAACTGAAGAGTGAAAATAGCCAAAATTTGAACGCCATTAAAATCTTCGATGTTGCGAAACTCCCGAATCCAAAATTTGCACGATTTGCGCGATGACCCCCAAAGAGGGAAAAAAATTATCTCCGACTTCTCCGCGCTTTGCAAGGGAAAATGCGATGATCGCCTCGGAATTTCCCCTGCGGCCACCCCGCATAATGATGAAAAATGATCTTTCCCCCACGCCTGCTTTTTTTTCCCCTTATACGATCATTCTGCATAAAAATGCTAAAGAGGTGCAGCGATACCCAAGAAAGTCAACATAAAACTTTGAGCTTAAGTATTCCCCAACTCGATATTATTATGTTTTCCATCATTTTTAATTAACTCATATTCACTATTTTCAATTCACTCATTTTCGCTAATTTTCATTTACTCATTTCTGCTCTTTTCATTGGTCCAATCATATAGTTACAGACGACCCATACAAAACGTTACCCGTTCGTCCGAATTTCACCGCTTTTTCCCCTCATCTTTACTTGAAGATTTCTGATCATTTTTCTGACAGGTTGAGAGACGGAGAAAAAACTTTTTTTTTACCCCAGGTTCAGCATCTCAATTTTACCTCGGGGAAAAATTTTTGTAAGGGGAATTCATTGAAAAATCTGAAGTTTTCGTTCCCAGCACCAGGCATTCCAGGCAACCGGACCCAGAGACGGCAACCGGACCCAAAGACGGCAACCGGCTTAGGATTACGTCACTTCGGCTGATTCGGATCGCGAGACGGATCATCAATAACTGTAATTACCACAACGCTCATTATTGGATTTCCTTTGCATGATGGCCGCGATCACGAAGTCCAAGGAATCATGATTGACGATAATGGGGATGCCATTAAGACGGGCTTCGAGAAGCATCGCGTTGCCGATCGGTCGCTTCCCAATCGGCAACACGATGAGTCGCAGTCAGTCTGAAGAAGACGACGACATCGCAGTCGTCGTCTGCTTCAAGATTTCAATATAATATATAAAAAATAATGTAAATAACAGGTAACTCTAAATTATTCAGCCTCCGCCTCCACGAAGGGGGAGCAGAGGGGGGCAGTGGGGGCAAAGAATGGGCCGAAGGCCCTAGTGACGTCATATGATGAGGGGCTCAATGCGGATGAGGGAGTGCATTGGCCCTATAACTCTCTAAAACGAGTCCATTCGTTTTCGTTTGTTCCTCTATTTTCTTCCCTGCGATTGTGTGGGAAAAAAACCTGCAATATATGGTGCAATATCTTCAGCATCTGGAAGCCAATTCGCAACAACATCGAAACTTAAATCGCTTCATTCGGAAAGCGAAACAGACTCTTTCGGTTCGGTTTCGGAATAATAAAAAAATTATAAATATAAATATAAATATAAATAATTCCTTCCTTAAGAAAAAAAAAACTTTGATTCAGTTCGATCGCGCGATACCGAGATCCTACCAAGATACACTTTGCGTAGCAACGTTTACATTTTTGTCTATTTCCCGTGGTGGTAATATTGTTGTAACAATGCTTTGCAAAATCTCCCATATAAAAAATTCTGGAAATATATGTATTCCTCATCGTTCAAAATATTATACATAATAAAAAGCTGGAATTAGAAATAAATAAATGTAAGTTTATATATCTATATATACATTTAAAAATAAATAATTTTTTTACTTAATTGGAAAATATATATACAGGTATACGCGAATGGCATAAAATATATATGATAAAATGCATAGAGTGTATGACCTTGGATGACGTGAAGGACGACGGAGGCCTGCTGCCCCTCCGCCACCTGGCAGGTGTAATTCCCCGCGTGGCCCAGCTGCGTCTCCTCGATACTGAACGTCTCGAAATCCACTCCGTTCTCCAGGCGGAAGGCCTTGAGGGAGCTGCCGGGGCCGTCCGGGACGTCGAGGATCCGGGTCCCGTTGTGGAACCAGAAGACGAACATCTGCTCCTCCTCGTTCAGGTCGGAGATCTTGCACTTGAGGTCCACGGCGCTGCCGGCCTTGACGTAGACGTCCGGGGAGCCGATGATATCCAGACTGGGGCTCCCTGGAAAAAAATATTACGGTAAGTATTGATAAATAATAAATAAATAAGTTGATATAGACGTAAGTGAATAATAAAAAGTAAAGGAATAAAATGTATGGTTACAAATTAAAAATATAAATGAGAAACAAACAGGAGCAAATAATACAAATAGATAAGAAATAATTATTATTATTTAAAAAAAAATCAATAGAAATAAATGTTCTATAGAGGAATTGCCGTAAAGCAATAATAACAGGTAGTTAATTACGAAATGAGAAAGAAAATCAAAATGAAATAAATATAAACCTATTTGAACTGACAAAAATAACGATGATATTTATCATTATATATTAATGTGCATAATAATGCTGATAAATAAAATAACAATAGCACTAACGACATTTATCATAATAAAAGAGCAACGGGAAAGTATGAATATTCGACAAGAAGGTAGCATAAAATACGTGAGAAACTGCTGATCAACGAGACCATCAAAACCTTGAGCGCCTACGAGGTCGTACATATTGCCAATGGAGACTGTCAATACATACAGTCAATACGATCTCATGAAAGAGGAGAAAATCCCAAGAGAAAAAGTTGGAAAAGTTGGAATTGGGAAAAGTTCCAGTAAAAAAAAAAATTCAATCGTTTTCAAGTCGCAGAAAAAATTCGGAATTTTTTCTCGGTTGGCATCCGAGGAACGAGAAGCGGAGCAGAATCGTAATCTCTCGTTCCTTTGTAATCCCTCTTATCCTGTAATTGTCAGTTTCGTACCGAGAGTAAAAATAAACCGCACCTCTCGAAGTTCCAGAGATGCAAAAAGGGGATGACTGAATCGTCAAACAAATGCAAATGAAGGAATTCATGAATAATTAATAATAAGTGATGAACAAACAAGGAAATCTATTTTTTAAATAGCTACCCTGTATAATGAAATCTGATATCAGAAACAAAGAATGAATAAATTATATGAAGAAGAAGAAATCAGTAATAATAAAATAAATAATACCGGAGCTGAAGAAATGAAGAATAAGAAACTGTAAATAATAAAAAGAAGCCGAAATAATCCACAGAACCATTATCAGTCGAGACAAATGCCCCCCCACCCGGAAAAGCAGCACCAACATTCCCCGAGACAGACGAGAAGCACGAAAGGTTATTGCAAGAACAGATGGAGCCCGGGCCTAATAACGACCTGGCAGGGAAAGAGAAACCCGGGGAGTCGTATGATAGAGTCCATTCATCAGCATCCCTCGCCGGGGTCCAATACGTCATAACGTTCACAGCGATCCGACGATCATCCCTCTCGCCTCTACAGACCCATCGCTGCGCGATAGCCCTGAATAGACCTTCCTCCTTGCACCGTCCATTAGGCGCCTCTACGCGGATAAGCACGCATTATATAGTGCCTCTTTTTCCCCCTTTTCGTATTTGGTCTTCCCCTTGTGCGACGCTCCTCACGGGACACTTCACGACGCTACTAACACGAGAGGGAATATTAATAAATTATATTTAAATGCCCTCAAGATTCCTCAGCTTTGGCAGAACTGCGCTGGTAAATGCCTTCAAGATTCCACTGGTGGCAAGCAATCGAAGGTGGAGGGGAAAACCACCCTGTGGAGGGGCAGGCAATCGACTGGCAATCGACAGGCAATCGACTGGCAATCGACAGGCAATCGACAGGCAATCGACTGGCAATCGACAGGCAATCGACAGGCAATCGACAGGCAATCGACTGGCAATCGACAGGCAATCGACTGGCAATATCAGGCGGCGCAAAAAAAGCGTCCAGTCTCACGCAATATTAAACCGATTTTAGCAATTCTCGCTTCGTAATTCATTTACTTTGGAAACGGTACGAAAATTATTTCCTGGGAGTTTTTAGCATCAGGGTACACCGCTCGCGTTTCTCACATTTTTGAGACTTTTTCAGCGGCTTCCTGCCGAAAATGGCCCTTGCAAATAAGAAACGATTCTGCTGTGCAGTATCTCACTTCGCTGTCGCCAATTTTCTTTTTCTGCTCCAAGTGAGGAATGAAAGGATGCCGGGATCCGGAAATGAAACTAGATCAAGGAAGAATCCACGTCTGTCTATTGACCATCAGATAGGGAACAGATGAAGACTCCCCACTCAAGGAGAGCGGAGGGAGGGGAATATATGGAATTGTAATCAAATCGGCATTTTTTGCGGAAACTCCCACGGGAGAAACCAAGGTTGCCCGATACCGCAGCTCCTTACTTACGCTCCTCATCCATTTTGTAAAAATTATTCAAATTTGACTCTCGGACACCCCGTGTATCATGGAACGAACGAGAAAAAATCAGCATCAATCAGAAGAGAAAGGCCAGGAAACCAAGATCAAGGAGTTCCCCGTGCCTATCCGGCAACCCTGGACGAGGAAGATAACTTGCTTTCCGCATTTGAGTCTTCCTGCACGCCAAGTTTTCCTCCTTCATCCAGTGACATGAATGCACATTGAACTGGCAGCATCAGCATTCCATCTATTTCCTCTCCCCCCCCTTTTGATTTTCGTCTTCCTTTCTCTCCTTCCGCATGAGCCCTGAGAATCAATCCATACATCTCGCGACCCTTTTCCGTATGATTGATGCAAAGCCCCCGGGGATCTCATGGATCCATTTCTCCCCCTCCCCTTCCGGATATAGAGGAGCCTTTAAAAGAGAAAAAGCGATTGCTTCTCCTCGCCGAGATATAAAGTGCGTTGCGTGGTTTAGTGCCATTTCCGGGCTCTTCATCCCCATAGAACGACGCTCGGAGACGATCTCATCTCGGTAAAAGGACGGAGGAATAACGCACTCTAGGGATCCACACATTGAAGAGGGAAAAAAAGGAAAACCGAAATGGCTCACCAAGAGGAAGCATCCGCAGGAATGTTGATAACAGTGTCGGAGTTCCTGAAGCAAGTCTTCGTATCTGAAGGACGCGTAGTCGACCTCGTTCGGACGAAACCCCTCCTGAATGTCTACCATCTGAACCTAGTGAAACGAGAAGCATGTCAACCTGCTGCAATCGATCTCTAGAGATTTGCGTCACTTGGACTCTTTCTTCCATATCCATCATGCACTTGAACCACCAATCCCAAGTGGATCGAGGAAAGAACACTTGGCTCCGAGTTTTCCTCCTCCTTTTCCTGCCAAGGGACTTTAGATGATAAAGAGGAATATCGATCATCCTGATTTTTTTTTCTATCCCTTTTCTTTTGCTTCTTCTTTAGGCATTGTGTCCTTTGTCTTTCGAGATTGAGAGGAGCTGGGAGCTCAAATCTGAGGCTCAAAGGAAAGGCAGGGAATTCAATATCGGCGCATGGAAGCCGCAAAGGCATTGCAGCGAGAGATCCGATTTTGGTCTTCCGAGAAGAGCTCTTTACACGGGACATCACCAGACATGCGAAGAACGGATCCTGACAGATGAGGGAGGTGGCACTTCTCACGTGACTCTCATCCGGGGTATCAACAACGGAGTAATGGCATCACGAAAGCAGAGAGTCACGATCCGAGAGGCTTTTCACTTGGGACCAATCTTACTTGTGCCAAGAATCGATAGGAAAAAAAGAGAGAGAGAGGACAAGGAGAAGGACAAAGTTAGATTACCTCGACTCCATAAGGAGCTGAATAGCATTGGAGCTCTGGCAGGACCACCTCCGACAGCCGACGCCTCTCTTGAATGAAATCTGGAGGCGGGAAAAGAAGCGAGCAAAAAATCTGTAGGCGCGGGGTTGGACAATGATGGAGACGGTGGAAAGAAGGCCTCCCGACGAACATGGAGGGGAGAAAGAGGTCATTTTTCGCAGAAGAGAGATTGCTACGATCATTACGGACCGAGATGATGATGATGATGATTCCCGAGGCGAGGCCTATAAGATGGCCTATGCTGAATGAGAGTTCCATCATCTCCAAAAGGCATGCCTCGTCCATAGCCAGACACGTCCCCTCGTTTGTTGTATGGACAAGAGAACCCATCTACATCCGATCACATTCTCTCCATTCCCTCCCTAGCTTACAAATACTCCCAGAAATGGCTCCCGCTTTTGGATTCGGACATCAAGACTTTGCATCCTACCAACCGATCGTAAAAGCAGGAGGGTTGAATAAGGGATTTCCTGAACACTAATGGAATTTGAGCACTCTAATTGATCCAGTGCAAGTACACCTATACATGATTTTCGATGGCAACTAAACAGTGACTGACAGAACGCATGTTTCGTTCGGTGGTCCTCAACCAAGTGAACCTATTTAACCTTTTTGCTGCGTGAATTTTGAAGAGGTAATGGAACCACGGGCGACTGATGTCGCCTTTCGCAGCGAAAGAGTTAAAAATATATACGATTCATGGAAGGTGAAGGAAATGGAATTCATTGGGAACTCACCAGATCCCGTGGAAACAACAAAGAATTTGAGGGTCCTTCGGTTTCCCTTGGACCCTTCGCTCATTTTGCGTTCTCAAGATATCGCTTCAACGATTGTCAACGCGTGAACAATGTCTCGCTGCGAAAAGGAAACAGAAGGAACGAAGAACACACAAAGCACAATCGAGAGCACACGTCAGTACGACAGCCAGCGATCAACAGGTTGGGTAGCGCCGCCGTCCCATGCTTTTATACCCATACCCGTACTCTGCGGTAGTACCACCACCTTGAATGCGCGCGCCATGCGCATGCGCATTGCCACAATCCCTCCGTCTATTTTTCAGGCCCTCAGCCCCTTCGAAGATTCCCTATTCTGTCTCCGCTAGCTTCAGCATGTAATACCTGAAGGAGGCGCAATCCCCCGGAGGGGGGAAATTCAATTTAGGCGCTTTGCAGGATATCAGGAGTCGCCCTTTTCTTTTTTGAGGCAATGGATGATCCCCTTTGTTTTTCCATCAATTTCCGGCGAAGACTTGCGCCCATAATCATGCCAGCCTCCTCGATGGAAAATTCCTGCCATTCTATTTCATGAATAATAGAGCAGTGGCTGGGATCTCCATTTCCATCTCTATCTTGCTGCTGTATAATACACCTACATCTCGGTTACATTGAAAGCCAGTGCCGTGGGGGGCATTCATCTAATGAGTAATTAGAACTCATTCAGGCACTTAATGAGATCCCCCAGCACCTGAATGACGCCATTCCGAGTGGTGAGATCTTGAATAGGTCTTAGAGAGAAGCCCGGCTTCATTTTACACGAAAATTAGGAATCAAGTAGCATTATTTCTATTTCTCGCGAGCTTCAGGGATAGAGCTCTCTTTCAAGGGGTCCAAAGAAATTCTCAGAAGAGCTCCTGAAGAACCCAATGAGGGGCAAGAGTCATGATATGTAATGGGCATTCGGGCAGGACAAGGGAAGAAAAGATAAGGAAACGGAAAGGGATGACCGAGAGGAGAAAACGCTGTGGGGAATCAATCTGACAATAACAGGCGATTAGTGGAGAAAGCGAAAGGGAAGACATGAAAGGGAAAGATTGAAGAGGGGAGTCACAAAAAAACAAGGAGCTGGAAATACTAGATAGCCCTCTCCGCCTCCATAATAGGACTATGTACACATGGCGATAATTGATTTCTGATGGGCTATCCTGTTTCGTCCAGGGTTGGCTCGGGCAGATATATATATTTCCACGACTTGCAATGGACTCAACGATGAAGTTGTTTCTCCTAAGCGAATGAAATGACGAGGAGCTCAAGAATATATTACAAGTCCCTGGGGAAATAACGTATGAATGATAGAATAATCACATTTTATTTCCGCTTAAAAAATATACGTAAAAAAATGAGATTGCTGATCATCGCCAGATAATGAGAAGCATAGATATGAGAATGACGAAGAGACTGCACGCGAATAAGGGTGGTGAATGACTGAAGGAAGGGCAATAGGGACACTGGTAGGACCCACACACGGCACATATGTCCAGGGCATACAGAGCCGTCACGTTGAACATCGCCATGTAGAACCTCTCTGGGGTAAATACGAAAAAAATGGAAAGATGATTGATTACAGCGGAATGAGGAAGGAAAGGTTGGACGGAGATCATGTCTCACCTGGCTGAAACGTGGAGTATATGTTGGCCACCCGGAACCTCGTGAGATTTGCGACCGGATACCATCGTCTCAACGTGTAGTTGAAGCAATGAGCTTCCGAACTGATCTGCACACAAGTAGATGAAACCCAATTGCATTTTTGTTAAATAATTTGGCTGCTCTTACCTCGACGGGCAATTTGTATAATCGGTTTCAGAAAGCATTGATCAGTCATTTTGATTACAAATTACTGATTTGATATTTGATAAATACCGATAAGCTGTTAGTTGCTGTTCTGAGTATTCATAAGTTTGTCGATCCTTTACCCTTTCAGTCACGACTTTTTCACGGCCCCTCTTCAAATTCTGTTCCCATAAAACTATACATGAGCTGCAAAGGAATCACGTATCTCAATATTGGTTGCCAATGCTGCAGCAGTCACTCATAAATGCTATATCGGCTCCCATAATTACTATTGCATGACTACGTCAGGGTGGTTTCCCTGAGGCACTTATGGGCGCATAATAGCGCTTAATAACCGCGCAACACATCACTCAATTCTGGCGTTTGGGAAAGGAGGGGAGGAGGGATCCTGGATCCCCGGGAAGCTACCGCACAGGGAGGACCAGTGGCGTAGCCAGGATTTCGCCAATGGGGGGGGGGGGGATAAGCGGATCGGTGGGGGGGGCTATGGTCTCACTTAAATTCCGCTGTGTTCAAATCGACTTCTCTCGCGACGCAATCCCAACTGTAACCGGAACTGAATTACAGTACAGATGTCAGTCCCGTCTGGATCCAGTTCAAAGAACTCTAGACATCGTGGCACAGGCAGATACTTTAATTTCGAGAAAAATCCTCTTTCTAGAGACAGGTCTCAAAACCAGATGCCGACAAGCCTTCCCTAGCTTATCAATATCGATCTCCTTCCTTCCAGCTAATTTCTTCCGCCGTTCTCTCCAACTGCTGCAACCATCCAAGTGACTTCTCCGAACGAATCCATCAATTTCCCTGCCCATTTTCGTTATCACTCTCAAGTATACGGTCCCCAGTACCGATTTCCATCCCTCCCTGATGAACAGACAAATGCAGCAGGAAGTCCCCCTTCCTTGATTTATACCCAATTCCTATGATATGCATGCAGGTTAAATAGCGATCGGAGCGTTGAGAAAGATGCCGATCGCTCCCAGAGGAATCCTTCCCCTTTTCAGATCACTTTATCAACTTGTCGATCCGGAGAAGGAAGTCTTCGGTTGTCTCAACTTCCAAAATTTGACTCATTAGAGCACCTCCCATTCAAAAATTCCTTTCAGTCTTTCGTTAGTAGGTATGTTCTTCATCTCCATCTCCCACTCGAGTCATTGAGAATGGAATGGAAAGTGGCGGATGTGGACATAAACGCCAGACAGGAGGGAACCAGACAAATTCGATAATTTTCTACATTATTCGATACTTCCGGATTTTAAACGTTTTTCTCTTCGATTTTATCTAAGTTCGACATTATCTTCTGTCTCCTACTATGCACTTAAATATTTTTAGGACATCCAGATATTTTTCGTTCGACAAAAAACGTTTGGACGTTCTGTTCCAGATTGCAAAGTTGGTGCCACCATCATGGTATTGAGGAACTCGAACACGAAGGGAGGCCTTTATATCGGCACACGACCCGTAGCCGAAGCCCGGGTCAGCAATGTGATTGAGGCCAAAGTGTCACCTTGGAACACCAGCACAGGGTCAAAGAGCCTTCATTCCCGGGATTGATCTCGCTTCGATCCAGATCTAGATATGCTTTTTCCCCAAGACGAAGATAATTCAGGAAGATTGGCTTTCTCAAAGACTACTCATGCATAAATCCCATGGTCAAATATTCGACAGAATTTGGTAACCGAACCCAGTATTTAGCCATCGTCAACTACAAGTTGCTTTTTCCATAAAAAAGGAATACATTGCAGTCAAAATCTTTAACAATGATAAAACGGGGTGCAGCACTGAAGCGATCCGACTGAGTATTCGCTGTTGACCCTGTGAACCCTTTGACCCCATGGCCACCTTAACCCCGCTCTCCCTTCAACCGTCCTAAGCTTATTTTTACTTTTTCAACCATTTCCGATTCCAAATGGCGAAATCTAAGTGCGAGCGAGCACGATTTATTGACCGCATCCGCACCATCACTTTCGGCGAGGAGCGCCGGAACTTTCTGAACTCGGCTCCAGTCCTTTGAATTTATGTTCCAATTCCTCTTCACAAAACATTCGTCTCGATTCAGTTCTTCGGTAATCCACCAGCTTTACTTTAAAGTTGACCGCCATGGAAAGTGATAGTGCAGACGAGGTCGATAATCGTGTTCGTTCGGAACCATGCTTCGCCGCTTGGAATGCGTAAATTTACGGAACTAAAATGAATAATGCCTTCAAATATTGTAATTACTGCTTGCGTAGGTTTTCTAGTTCAGGCTGGGGGTGAAGGGGGGGAGGGGGGGCCGTTTCCGGCATCCTCAAAGATTTAGATGACGAGGCCTGCAACTTGTGCAAGTACACTGTTTCCGGATTGAATTCGTACCCCCCATAGGAGTGCTTCCATCGATTGCAGTTAGTATCTATAACATCTTCCACATGGGAGATTTTTAGGATCACGAGATGAAGCGGATCCTCTGGAGGTATTGCTTTCTCTGTTCTTCACCACCCAGGGGGGGAGGGGGGGGGGTACGAATTCAATCCGGAAACTGTGCAGGCCCCTCAAGCAAGAAATGACAGGCATTTTCTCGAAATCTTTTTGGAAAGAATAAAATAAATAATACTGTTTGTGTGTGACTTGATTACTGTTCAACGTTTCCCCGTACTCATGTCAAAGTGGAAAGATTTCGTTGCATAAATATTTGAAGGAATGAAAGATTCACTGACTGATGGGTGAACTCAAACCAGGATACAAAATGTCAGACAGGCACTTTATTGTGACCTAAAGGCATGAATATATGGGCTGGAAACAACTAACCTTTCCACTTTGCCCCGGTCTCTCCTACCTGACATAATTGACTAGATAGACCCTGGTGCGGGCGGCTCACCTGAGAGAAGTACCAGACGGTGGTGGTGGAATCTGCCTTGACATCCATGAGGGTGGGATGAGGTCTTTTCCTCACAACATTCAGAACGGCTTCACCCTGGGTGATCCTGTAACCCGACGGGTTCTCCACCTCGATCGTCACCCCTCCGCTCACGGGACTCTCTTCCAAGTTGATCCACCTGCCACGGATTCATCATCTTTCATCATCATCGCTCACTATCCCGGGATAGATGTTCGTCGTGATGAGAGGATTTCATTACGGCTGCTCTACTGAAACTCTCCCATTACGGTATCCGTATATACCTGGGGCAGAGCTCGACGGTGATGAGGGACTTGTTCCTGAAATTGTGGTAGGTCTCGTGGACGTCCAATTCGTAGGCGTCGACGGGAGGCACGTCTTTCAAGGGATCCCAATCGATTCCGTAGGAATAATCCATCTGTAGCACGGCCTGACCCGCTCCCCGACCGACGATGTTCACGTGGCCCCAAATGTTCTCCAGCTAAACCAAATACGTCAAATTTTTTTCCTCACGGAGACATGCAACCTTAATATGAGGGTCTTTCGTGTTGCCTTACGTCGAATGTTTTGAGTCTTGCGATGCTTCGGTTACCGATGTGTACGGTTTCCACCCAGCCCGGAGTGGCCGTGACCTCCAAGGTCACGCTCATGTCCGTGATATCACGAAGTCTGGCTCGCCATGAGTACTCCGTCAACGCCTCCATCGCCACCAGCGTGTCCTTCAAGAACCAACAGAAACTGGCGCTGTCAACTGAAGAGGTCATTCTTTTGTCCTAATCGTCTATCTTGTATAAATCTTCTTAGACCTTAGTTTTTTCTTTATTTTTTCCCCTTCCATTTTGTGCATCGTCGAAAACTTCTACAGGTTTTTCTTGAAATATCTGAGTGAAATTTAGGAAGAAGCTAGGATAAGGAATCAAAGAAAATTTAGGGTAGGAAATTTCCCAAATTTTCCTGCGACCAATGCCAAATGAAACACATGAAGTGTTACATAAATTTTGTCACCAAAACTTTCTTCAGATTCCTTACCCTAACTTCCTATTTTCACACACACAAGAAAGACCTGGGAAAGTTTTCGACCGTGCACAAAGGAAGAAAAAAAAAAACAGAAGAAATAATACAAATGAAAAGGACAGACCGGAGAAGCGATGAACCCGCCGGTGTTCATCCTCATGGAGTTGAGCCAGGACACGATCCTCTCGTGGAGGATGTTGATGGTCCCCTCCCGCTGGATATGGACGAGGAGAGCATAGGAGGTGGCTTCGATGCTCAGGGCATCCCACGTCTCCTCACCCTTCGGATTCAGGAACGGCCGATTGTTCTCCCAGGTGATGAAATTCACCGGCACCGGCTCTCTCGACCAATACACTCCGTTATCTGCGAGCCACAGGCTCATTCTCATTAAGTCACTTCCACTCACTCCCCCCCCCCCCTCCCCGTGTTTCGTTTTATTAATGGCGGTTCATTATGACTTGACATCCTTCCGCTTCATTTCATTTCGGAATGAGGAAATCCAGCATCGTGCAATGGGCCTGTTTATGAGACTGGGAATCATGCCTCATGTCGGAAGCTAAAGTAATGAATGCCGAAAGTTCAGCAAGAAAGGGCATAATAAGGAATATTCCGGATAAACGAAAAGTTACTCAGAAACGAAGAAAGGACGCTGCTGTAAAAAGAATGAGGCTTCATCACGGAAAGTGTTTTCTCGCGGGAGAACAAAGCGACTTTATGAAAAACGGTGAGCAAAAACGTTCCTAACCTGCAAAAAACATCACCTCTTCCACGTTTAGACCCGCATTTACTGGAACACAGGGTTATCTTTATTGGTAACGATCAACAAACAATGCACGTCCTCCAGGCTAAGAGTAAATCGATACGCTTCTTCCTCATGACGATGTAGCATATGTCCTTCGGTCCCTCGTTAGAGCTAATTAGCCGGGGTTCGTCCCACGGCAACACGGTCGAAGAAAACTTCCAGGAAAAAAAAAGCAATCAAGAGAACCATCTCACCGTTTTCCCTCCTGGCCTTATAAAGCAGAGCGAAAGCGACTTCAGACTCCACACTCTTCGCCATGATCAAGGCGTAGGCAGTGATGGCCAGCGCGTATGGGTCTTTGATCTTCGGCAGACTGTATTCCAGGTAACTCTTGGCCCTGAGCCTGGCGTTCGAGGCGTCTCCCCTCAGTCTCCCTTCCACCCAGAAAGATCCATGATGATCCAAGATGATAATGCATGTACGATCTCTCATCAAAGACGGTAAATGGAGAGACAAAGGGATCAGGTTGGATTATGCCGGGGAGAAAGAACTGAACTAATTTTCCCTTGTATGGCTTTCCTTCCATGAACCACGAAGGAAAAACAAGTCGAAGAGCCTGCTACATCAATCCATTGATTAATGAATTCAACATCACAGCCATGAATTTTCAGGTGAAAGGTGAAAAGCCTCCACGAAAGGTCGTCCAACGTGAGAATTTTGCAACGGACAGATAGATCAAGCATACGAGTCTAACTAGTTTTTCAAGTCATTATAAACGGCATCAAAAAGCGTTACATTATGAAAGAAGATTCCAGCGCAGCCTCCCATCGAAATCGAAGAATGGAAAGCCAAGGTACAAAAATTACATTGGTTATTTTAAGCATTCAATCTGGGTTGCTTTGAAGACCGATTCCTATCAACTGTCAGATTACGTGAGGCTTTCTCCTTCGTTTCTACGCGTCTCTTACGAAAAGGAATCGAGCCCATGACGTCACCGCCGAGCTATTCTGGTTCTTCGGGGTCCCTATCTCGCGGGGCTACGTGTCTGTCAACATGTTTCTATTAAGGAATAATGGCTTCTGCACAACGACGCCGATGGAGGCGCCACATTAAATTCTCAGGGGTTCCATAACGTATCACTTTCTCGGCACTCCATATGATAGGACATGGTTCACCTGGGAGAAGATCGAGGATCTGATTGAGAGTGATGAGGACGTGAGCCGTCAAAGGGACGTCACGGGGTCCTTCCTCCACGCTGTTGTTCCACTCCCCTGCATAGCCCCAAGGCTGCCGTGGGGAGAACACATTCGGGGACGTTAGGAAGGAGTTCAGCTAAGGGGTTCGAGTGGGAAACATGTCGAGTGTGGAGGGGGGGGAACGAGGCGGAAACGGGTGCAACGAGGTTTATATGAGTCAGCATCCCAAAACGCGTACCAGGAAAGAATCCCGAGATATCCCTCATATTGAGTTTTCAAGGGTACACGGGAACTTGGAGGACCCGTGAGGCCTAGTTTGGTCGATACTTCTGGTTTATTTCCCGGGATTCTTTTTCGCACCCATACGTGTATACACTTGCATGTTTGCTTTTGTCAGCTTGAGTTTTTCGTTTCGAAATATTAGTATTAAGTAAGCAATACAAGAACTTTGAATAAAAGTTACTATTATTATTCAAATGTCCATTCTCACAGTAGGCCTAAATCGGATATGGCCCTGTGAGACAAAAGTTGGACCATCCATATCCTTGCTATATATCCGCACGATGTTGATGCAAATGTTCCACGTCGTTCTTTCGTGGCCTCGTCGAAGTCGATTTCATCTAGACGAATTCAGAGAGCCCTTCGGGGTCTCAACTATCGTCATCCAGACTCTGCATAAAGGAGACGGCTCAACAAAAGATTTGAATAATTAGCTCCGTCGCAATATTTCCACTCGATCATCAGGGCATCCTTGGATGCCACTTTAAAGTCTCGACCAAATTTACATTCCCGCATCAGGCGATGCCAATTACCATGACAGCCATGTTCGCGTTCGCTGACAGGATGTAACTCCTCTGCCTCCCCCCTCCCCCTCTCCTTCCTCAATGTCTTGTTAGCCTCCTGGAAGTCACCAATATCTGACTACGGTGAATCAGTAGTCCTGGCATGCAGCCACATGTCGTCATATCAGCTCTACGAGGTTTCATCAGAAAATCTAGCATTTGGGGGGGAAAAGTCCACGATTGAATACCTTCCCGATGCATCATGTCAGCATTTCCGTGCCGATGTAGCCTGTTTAATATTGCTCAATGCCAGAGAAACTCATCACATGGAGAAGCTATTTACGCACGGAGTGCTAAAGAATTCATGAATCATCAAGTACCTTGTGCTCATAATTCTCCTATTTTCTCTATTTTTAGCCAGTAATTTAGAAGAATCATACTCATTCACCAAGTAGGGACATATAGAGCGCGATCGTTTTTCTGAATACAGATCCGAATTGCAGCCTAGGGGCAGCTATAGAAGCATTCCGTGCTAAATTGAATTTCCGTGATTCTTCGCCATGATTCTTCAGAAACGCTCATGTATCACTCCTTCAACCCTCGGCGATCTGCAATCCTAATTCAGGAGTGTCAGCTACTTATGCAGTACGAGAAGCGGCTGCGTCTTTGCGTCTTGGAGCGTCTTCTATTAGTAGTTGCAACTCGTACAAAAATGTCACTGGCGTTTCAACGGTGAATAGGGTTCAACAGCAAATCAACGGTGATTCAACGGTGAATCACCGTTGATTTGCAGTTTCAATTTCGACATGTTGAACATTTTCTGTAGGGGAACTGGTGCGCGAATTCTACGACACCGTCAATGAAGGGACTGATTGATTCAACTTCCATTTTTAGAAAAGAGGGATAGAACATTGTTGAATTATTGAGGCATTCAGCAGCGGTAGTGTGGGGGGGGGGGATGGAGTGAGGGGGTGAAGTGGGGTGAACAGGGTGGAGGGTGAGGTGGGGTGAGGTGCACTGGGGGTGTTTTCCTCTAATATATCAAGTGTTCCCTCCGAGCATAGCGGGAGCTGGATCTTCTCTTTATTGAGGGAAGAGCCTGCGATCCAGAACCACCTTGTCAAAGAATAAGACCGGAAAGCAACTAAGGCTGTAGTGCCACTGATGAAATGTCAGAGATGAGAAAAGAGCGATTTTCACATCAATAACGTGAGTGAAAAAAAAGTAAAGACAGCCCATCTTGAAAGAAGGAGAAGGGAATCCGGAATACAGGACAGCCTGCGTCAAGGAGCAATTTCGTTCCATTCAGGTCCTCATTAAAGATGTATCAATGCATCGCATTCCGTCCTTAATATATAAAAGACCGGGTATGGCAAGAAAAGAATCCCGACTTTAATATTTAACGACATACACCATCGGAAAGGGGACGAAATGTTCTTGACATACCCACGAATTTGCATCCAAATTCGTTCTGCCTCAGCAAAGCTTCGTGCGTTTACTTAAAACGACGCCTGATATTTAAAGTGAATGCGAGCATGAGCTGAGAATTCACAGCAGGGGCGACATCGAGCGTCTTTTCCATTCCTCTTCTTGAATAAGGTTCGAATTATTTATCCGCCTCTCTCCTTCCCCGATTGACATTAATTATAGAGTTTGCTCTCGACAACTTCAGAATTTTCTTCGTTTACTTCAAAGAAGGTGGTAGGAAATGTAAAGCCACGCCATAGGGATTGGATTTGAATGTTAATTTTCAAAATTCTGATTTCTTTTGCATAATCATAGCTTTGCTTTCAGAGGATGAAATTCCTCTTATCTGTTGAAAATGCACCAGCCTGTGCTAATCGCATTAGCCATTAAAAAAAATATATCTCTCTCTCGCAAGAGCGGATACATGCTGGTATTTCTTCCAGGGGTATTTCTTTCCATACCCTGTGCGATGAAAAAGTCAGGAGTTGCCCCTCTTGGAATGGGATGGTTAGGAAAGATTGGATGGAGTTATCGGATGAAGATATACCTAAAGCCAGTTTTACTGACCCTGCCCAGAATGACCTCGTAGGTGCCATCCAAGAAACCGCGGACGCTTTGGTGCTCCCTTGGTCCCCGGCTAAGGGCCTGTATGCAAATCATGCGGTCCCACTTTCTGTACAGGCCGTAGGGTTGCAAAAGCTCTGAGACCACTTCGAATTCGCACTTAATTAGTCACTGCCAATGCTGTGCAAGCACTCGAAATCTCAAGCGCTTCACTACCTTTCTGGCTGCAAATGTAATTAATTAACGGCAGTAATTGAAATGCTTATTCAATTCATGCAATGACGACGTAACTTCATTCCTTTTTAGGGGGTTAGGAATTGATGTACTAATCACTTTTCTGATTACATTTTCATCGATTGAACGCTGTTAAAATCAGACCTCGCCGGATCCCCAACGGACAGCGAACAGATTTCCGTTTCCCGGCAGAGACAGCAGCATTTCAAATATGCATTTAGCTAATGAAGATAAACAGGAGCTCTTGGTAGCCATGGTCCAGGAAAAGGAAGGAGAGATAACTCGCAGCGCGACGAGTACGCTGTACATTAGTGCCATCTCTTGAATTGTTTTGAAATTTTTTTTTTACTCACATGGCCATCCATGCGAAGAATGAGGGGGTATTCACTGTAGTACGTTGTCTCCCGGAACGCGCCTTCTCTCGTCTGATACCTGAGGATCCACGCTGTCATGTCCGAGATCACCTTCGGATCCACATAGATGAAGTTCTCCCAGTCGGGGAAATTGGCCTCGTTGAAGTGCCTCACCGCCGTGGCCGTCAACCTGTCCAGACGCACAAAATCCATTCCATCTCCACTCCTTACAGCCGAATCCACAAACGGAATGCACGGGTTCTCGGACGATACCAGACGCTCATGTTGGAGATGGGCGTGTACTTGAGCCCCTGCCCCTCGTTGAACTTATGCATGATAGCCGCGTAGAAAACATTCATGCCGTTGAAGGCCTTCTTGGCCTCGTCCCAGTTGAACTGGTTCGTGAGTCGCAAGTACTTCAGGGTCCAGAGATTGGCGGCGAAATCGAACAAATACTGCTCCGCGGTTTGCGATGCTCGACCCAAGAGGACTTCTTGATTGACGGGCACTTCGGGGAACGTCGGTCCCACCACGTCTCCTAAATAAATTCATTAGTTTTATTAATTGAAGTCTACAAGCATCATGATTGATAATCAACTATTTAAATGTAATTTCACCATAAAAGATGCAATTAATGCTGTCGGATCTCATAACATAGCAAACGAAATCACCAGCTTTTGATGCTAGCGTAATAACCAGCTCGCTTCTATACACGGGTGCAGGGAAGCCTGGGCGGGGTTGGGCGACGCCTAGGCACCTTTTTTTCAATGGCAGGGCGCGCCCAGGGACTTTTTTTCCCCGAAAGACGAATTATCATTGTCTTTCAGTGACGCATGTGAGGGAGAGGGTTGAAGGGGCCTCCATACCCCTTCTCCCAGCCCTTGATGTGGTGTGTCTTCTGCTACCCTCTCGTAGCGAGTTCTCTATTACTCCACATCGTAAGGCTTCCACTTCCCCTCTTCTTTTCCCCCAAAGATTTTTTCCTACTATCCTCTCCCCTCTCCTCGTTCAATAAGCTCTTTTTCATTCTAAGCTCTTCTCCCCGAGTCCATGGACTCGGAAAAAGATCTAAGCCCCCCTCCAAAATTTGTTTCTGGCTTCCCCACCACACACAATATCATTAGCGTTATCCAAGCAAAAGCCCTTCCTCCAATGCGGCTGGGCGTCCGACCACTTTTTAAAATAGCACTGCATCCTTGCTCCTATATCGACTGTCACTTTTAAAACAGCGAAAAAGAATGTCGAGATGTTAAGAAATTTCGTTCCTTTCCGAGAAGACTGCATAAAGCATATCGCTGATGGAAGCCCTCTGCAACTGAATTCACCCGACTCGCACCGACACCGACCACAAAAACAGGCATGCGAAACGAGCCGAGATCGAACCGAAGACGGAGAGGGAAGCGGCCGGGCTGCCATAGACGTATCGCCTCCAGTTCTGATAGGGGACGATCGGGGATTCCTCCACTCCGATGTCGAAGAATTGGAAGACGTTCGCCCGGTTCTTCAGGTCCAACAAGATGGACGTGTGCTCCGCCATCTCTACCCCCTCCGCCTGATTCAATTCCAAAGATTCACGACTCAATGGTTTCTCCTCTTTTTCTTTCTCGATCCCTGACTTCTTTCTCGTTCTGGCTTTTCTTTCTTTTCCTTCTTTCTCTTACAGTATTTTGCCAAAGGAAATTCTTGGTCTCACCAGGACATGGATCTCTATTTTCTCCTCGTCCCTCCTGATCTGTGTCAGAGCCTCGATCGTGACCTCGATCGTCCCTTGGTCTATGGTCGGCACGATGGGGAATGGCACTTCGATTGCCTCTCCCGGGGGGATCTTAGTATATAAAATATAAAAATAAAAGTCAAGGTCGTGGTACATTTGAACGAGACAGGAGAACAAAGGTCTTTACGAGGAGTAGGTGCTGATGGTCTCCACCGGTGGTGCGGGGATTGTAGCTGAACACGTATCCCCCTTCCTCCACCTGAATGGACTTGTAATCATCCGAGCCCTTCAGGATCAGCAGGACGTAGATCTCTGTCTACACAAGGGAAGCCAAAATATAATGAGTGAAAAAAATAATAATTTGAAAAAGACTTCATAGGTTTCCTTTTTTTTATGGGGAAACAAGTTATCTTTCCCCTCATCTTCGCTGCTGCAGCTCCACGAAAACAAGGAAAACAAAAGCTTAGGTCCGAATGCGCAAACCTCATTTAGAGAATAAAAAAAGTCGGACTGGCAACCTAGGGGCTCCCGCACCGGGTGCGAGGCCCCCTTTGGTTCCCCCGGGAAATTTCCCGGTATCCCGGTGGACCAGTCCGATCCTGTAAAGGGGCCTTTAAACTAAGGAGCTCTTTTTCCCCCTTAGGAGTCCATGTGGTCTTAAAGGACCGTTTAGTAAAGGAGGTTTCAGCATTCGGACCTTAATTGCCTATTGAAAGGTCTGCAAGATAAACTCACAGTGTATCGTTTACCATCTCTTAAAATACATAATTTTTTGCCGAGTCGAGAGAGTGAGCTCACGCTGCGCTCTCACCCTGCGATACTCATGCACAGATAATTGAGAATGATCGTCGCGTGATCATTACCGTTTTCATCTATTCTTGTCCTCTATAGGGATATGAGCGGAAGAGTGATGATATCCACGTGTGTGGATCATACCACAATCTTTTTCTTTCTTATAATGGCGGTTATGAGGGAATGGGAGCGTGACAACTTGCTTTCCATTCGGAAAACAGCCCTGCCTTTATGTATGATTTATTTCTCTTTATTTTCAGACTAGTTGAATACTAAAAGGAAGACAAAACGGGAGTGAGACCTGCATGGTGTTGATTGCGACGACCCTGATGCTGACTTGCTCGTGGGCCCTGACCTCCTCCGCCGCCTCCACGGTGATGTAGAACAGTCGCGTGCTGTCGTGCTGTGCGAACAAACAAAAGTGTGCCGTGTGAACGAGCGCAAACCCTTTGAGCACAAAAAGGTTGGCGAGTCCCTTAGGGGGCCCAATCCATCACGACGTCACGGTGCAAGCAAATTGCACGGCAATGCTTACGCGCCGCATGAAACGGATGGATTAGCTTCATTTCATTTTATTTATAATACAGTCGACGCTCGATATAACGAACTTTCTTTTTTTACTTTTTTTTCCAGTTCCTGGCCGTTTGCCCATTCGCATGCACGTTGAAAAGTTTCTCTACTGCAAAGTTCTGAATAAAGAGTTGTTCGCTATGCGAAGTCATTTTTTTCTTCAGAAGGAACAAAACCGTTCCGTATTACGAAGTATAAATCTTTGCGGCACATCTCAGAGCCACTTGCTTTCCCGCGTTCCTGAAAAGTCTCATATCATAAATAAATTTGGCATGTTCCACCCACTTATTGGTTTGGCCTCGTGCAATAAGCTTGTCGGTATTAATCTTATCATGAGCTTAAGGATGAGGGTCAAACCGGGTCCAAAAATTCTGCTTGGTCAAGCAATCGAAGCCTTCGACCATCTTCGGCTATTTTTCAGCCAAAGGACGAATTTTGAATCTGAAACAATTCAAATTTTAAGAGCTCTGCAGACCGCAGTTCAAAGAATCGTTCGGGAAAGGGCGCGGCTGACAATCATTTGAGACTTGGTTCCCGATGAATAGACAGCGTTGGTGACTCATCCGATTTTTATTAAACTTACACCTACATAAGGACAACTTTCTGTCCATTTAGGTGCATCTTGGAAACTGTATTTTAATATGACATTAGATCTCCGCATTTTTTCATGAATGGACAACTGCATCCTTTTGGCATAAAATGGAATTTTGTTTAAGATGTCTCTTTTTTTTCAGCGAAATGTGGGGAATTCCCTATATCGAATTTCCCTCATAACGACATTTTTTAGCCTGTCCCTTCGAGTGCGTTATATCGAGCGTCGACTGTATATCATATTTATCATATTATGGGAATATGAACTCAATTAAATCCCTAGCCCAAAGGAGCTCATGACAATTAGATTGGATTAAATTAGCATGAACAGCCTAGACGTTCAGCACTTCACTGAGATGAGAAAGCATTCCAGGAGAAATCCATTCTGAGAGTACATGTACGACCATTGCCTCATTATCACTGACAAATGTTATTCCGGCAATCTCCAAGTGTTTTTTTGTTCAATGAACGGGAGAGACAGATGCGTGCTCCTCAAGGAGAAATTATTTTTTAAATGCCCCACCGGTTCTCAGCCTTTCTTAGCGACGACACACATTTCAGGCAGCGAGGTATCGGTATCCTCGGACCACGGAATATTGGCGAAACAGAACATTAGGAAAACCAGGACCTTTGGATTTATTCACGAAAGGTTTATTTTGAACTGTCACTAAGCAAGATGATCATTTCGAGAAGATAGATTTAACCTCTTCATTTTTGTTGATTTGACTGCAATGTTTGCCTCTGCACAGAAAATCAAGAAACGGGGCAATATTTGAAAAGAATCCTCTGGTCATTCGTAATGCTAAGAAGGGACCTGCACTTGTTATGTTTTATATCCCCAGAATAAGAATAAGTCCATGTGGTGGAAAAAGCAATCAGGATTTTCATTGCAGAAACAATATTGATATTGGCTCTCTTCTTTGATAGATGCTCTCTGCATGAAATTGAATTCCAGGAATATGCAATATAAACACATTTTTTGCATTATATTTGACTCATATCGTGGGCTCGTGATGAACAATTTCAAGAGCGTAGACTGAAGTCTGAAGTATCCCATTATTGAAAAGGTTCTTCAGAATTTTGCTTCCTCGGTTACACCAACAAAGGAGCTTTGCAGCCTCCAGACCCATTTGCCTTGCTTTGGCCGTAAGGAAAAGCTGGGAACGACCCGCGACACCCTCGTCAGCCTCTCTGGTTGAGAACCGATGGTCTATTCCGATCGGCCTCACGTGATAAAGGTAGCCTCGTATTTGAGCTTTTGATGCTCGGTGAACTTGCGCGGTGGAGAAGCCAGGAATTCATGAAGAAACATAATGAACAATAGCTGGAATTCTAGGAATCTTCGACGCCCCAGTCATTGTAACATTCAAGGAAACGGGAAGAACTTCCGTGCTCGCCGGGAGATGGCAACACTGCAAATATGGCAACACTGCGAAGATGGCTCGCCCTCCTTACCACAGCAGCAGTCATATCTACGAGATCTCCCGATACAAAACGCCCTTCTGCATGCAGATCAGGACCGGATTACATTAGCATGACTACTCAGTTCAGGAATGAACTATCCCGAGGGCTTTTCCGTCTCGGTTATGCCACGGTGCAGACGGTTTCCTCCATTCCCGTCCAATCGATAACTTCACGGTCTGTATTAGACGTCTCTCGCGTGAGAGTAGAGACCTCGTTCACATTTTCGTGCTTCTTCATCCGTCTCCATCTCCGTCCCAAGTAATCTTCCTCCGAATTGAAGATTATGAAATTCTCAAGAGGATGAAGAGCGGAAAGTTACTCAACTCGATGGGCTCCTACCCTCTCATCGAATTATCCATTCAAATTTACATAGCATCATTTTGCGTAACATCTTTCAGCTCATTCCGGTCACCAGCAGACAACAAGAGGGGCGAATGACCTTTTCTAAGCAGGGCTAAGTAATGATAATCGACTAATTCCTGTTTTGTTCCGTTGGGAACCAGTATTATTTTAATTTTATTATTAGTCCTCCAATTTCGTTTCGGCCACGTTTCTGCTTCTACTCGATCGCAATTTGTTTCTGGCCCTTCTGGTAAGGTTAGAAATGGAATTGAGAATCTTTCATGTCATAATTCAGAATGGGTTCATCCAACGTCAAAGCGCCCTCCTCCGCCAAACACCAGAAGGATGTCACGAATAGATTTCCGATAGAATCTTCAATGCTCGTAATGACGGAAAGCTGGGGAAAAACATTTCCACAGAACTTTGCGTCGTGCGGCTGGCCAAGACACGCTGGAATTTTCATTTACTGAAGCAGATACCCTTCTTGTTTCTGCCATCAGTCTTTCATTTTTCTCTTATATCGGCAGTTGTGCCTGAAGAGATCTTTATTGAGCATTCTTATGGTGACCTAAGGGAAAATGGCAGATATTACGATCGGTTTGTCACTCTTCCTCCTTTCTTTCTTCCTCTCTTTCGTTCTTTCCTTTTATCCAGGCTGTCTGCAGTTGCCATAGCAACCTAGACGCATGCCAGGTCTCAGCCTGGGTCGGGGTGTTTTGACCAAAACCGCGTTCCAGCTTTTCTACCTCACGCATCATTTGTTGACAAATGGAGAGAGAGTGACTGCACGTGGCAGCGTAAAGAGAGTTGCTAGCTGGAGTCATGCGATGCCATGTCTGGTTTTTTTCCCTTCTCCTGCTCCTTATGTTAATGCTCCAAAGACCTAATCTGAAAGAAAATATTTGTTTCCACTTTTCCTAACCATCACCCCAGCCGTTGAGATAAATAAAAATAATCTGTCACGAGGAAGTTCCAATTTTCTCATTATCTGCACTATGGCGCCATCATCGAGCTGACAGCTCGCCAAATTTATTTTTATTCCTCCTGTCCGCAGTTGCCATAGCAACCAGAGCGCTTAGGGTGATCAGTGCATTGACCTCTGTGTTACATATCTAAAGAACTATACGAGCTCGATTAATGATAGTTGGGAGATAACTAGGGGGCATATTTTTATGAGTTGATAAGTCCCAAAACATGCACATAAATAAGTGTTTAAAATTGCCAAATATGCGAAAGTACGCATTTTATATCAGCGCATGTAAAAATCACATTAAAATGCACATGTGCATTTTATAGCATAGCGTGGATGGAAATAGTGGGGGGGGGGGGGAAGGGGCCACGGGAACTCTAGAACAGTGTTATTAGACATTTCATGCTTCTTTTTCTTATGCTTTTTTTTCTGGAAAGTGGGTGGGGGCGGGGGTACACGTGTTCCCCCTTTCCCCTGCCCCCCCTACGCTACGCCGCCGTGTGGTAATGAAATAAAATGTTTGCTGATCATAGTTGGCCAATCCCTGTCACAGCACATGACTGAAATAAAAACTTTTCATTGTTTATGGAAGAAACACGTTTTCTGGAAAAAAAAAACTCAATTTTTTTTCCTCAGGGAAGAGCGAAATATGCGTGAATATGCATATTCTTGAGAAAAAAATTATGCATTTTAATGCGTTTTTAAAATGGCATCAATCGCTTCCGCTCTTAAAAATATATGGCTCCTATCCGGTTGCATGTTCCTACGAGTCTGCATAACAAATATGGATTAGCATAGAAATCCGCTCTCTACTGATAACATCTGGTTGTTAAAAGGCATCTATCGTGACCCGTGATATATCAGTGTCTGCAGTGACCATGGAATGGCAGCTCTGCACCCCGAGTTGATTCTCTGATTAAGCTTACACTACTCTGGTCGCGAATTACACGGTCGGTTGGCTTGACATGGGAGAGGAGAGAGGAGGGAGAGGGATGGGGTGAGGGATGGGGTGAGGGTAGGGGAGGGGGAGTGGAGGAGAGAGGGGGTGAAAGGGAATAGAGTAGGGTGAGGAAGGCTTTAGGGTGATTAATTTTTAATCCCCCCCCAAAGGTGTAGATTCTACCGGACGGCACTGGGGTGATACCATACGAACTCACCTATCTTGGATTTCGCGATGGTCGAGAGAAACAATTCACTTATTCTTTTCAAGTGGATGAATATAATAGCGTGATATATCGCTAGAAAGGTCTTTCAGAGCTCTATAAGATGTCTTCAGTAAATTACTCTCATATGCAAGCGAAGTCAGCATTATGAGAGCAAAAATATCGCTATTCCTAAGCGTTGATTGGTGAGCAAAATGTGGGGGAAAAAATCAGCATACTGAGAGGCTGAGTCAAAATCATCGCATAGGGCACTGAAAGACCTTTCCCGTGATACATCACGCGATTTTTTTCAGTTGCTTGAAGGAAAGTGAATTCTCGGAATGTGCAACAAAAAAAAATTATTCGAAAAAGCACAATAAACTACACATCATTAGAAAGATCTCGAGCTCTCCTTTCCAATGATACTACCCATGTTATCGTATGTGCTCCGCCACATTGAAAAATACCCGAACAAAGATCATCAGAATCGAGTAATTACCAATTTTGAGGTGAATTTTTCTCCACGTAGCGGACAAAAAGTCAAACAAGTAAGTTGACTTATCGATGCACATGAAAGATAAAAATTCTCTCATCACGGTAAGAGATGAGAGAATAGTATTTTTCTCGCTAAATAGGGATATGGGACAGTCAAAATTGCATATATTTCATATTTTCAACTTCAACTGTGATGCTGAAATCTCATTCAAACTCCAAAGATGCACAGACAGAAACCTACAGAAGAGCTCCGGTTGAAGCTAGTGCACGCCTCTGCACGATTAACGGTTCCTGAATTGCAATTTTGCCGTCAGTGGGGTTTTCCCGTTCCCCCAGAAATCCGAGGGGGGGGGGGGGGGGGGGGGGATAACTCGCTAACTGCAGATTAGATTCTTTTTTTACGAGCTAGTCAGATAGGCTTCAATCGCTGATCATTTCCACCGCAAAATCCGAGATGGTCGGGCTTCATTATGTACGAATATTGTTTGAGTTCCTATGGATTGACTAACCAGTCAGTATTAGTATTAGTATTATATTTATTTGGAGGCTTCATGTATACAGCCATAGTCAGTCAAATTTATCTATCTATGAGGGCTTCTCTTCGCTCCAGCGCCTTTCTTATATACTCTGCTAGCTTCCTCCATGCCAGTGCCGATTCATACACGTCTCGTAACGTGTCGACAGGGAGACACTCTGCTTGGATTTTCCTCTCCTGGAGTTCTGGCATGTAGTTATGCCGCAGATCTTCATATG